GTCTTAGTATCAAAATCCACTACACTTATTATCAATCCATCATAAACATTCAACAACAACAACATTATACAACATAACATCATAGTATCACAACATAATATCATAGCACCGCAACAACTAAACATGTTATCAATTTATCATGTATATTCAACAACAACAACAACATCATTTACAATAACATAACATCATGGCATCACAATCACTAAGCATATTAGTAATTCATTATCTATATTCAATAACAACAACATAATATCACTCTACCCAAAAACAACATTCTTCATCACACATCATAATCAAATCATCCAAAGTCCCATGTTTTACTACAAATCTCCATTCCTATTAGCCTCCCTACATCTTCCTACTTCATACTAGTCATTACAGACCCAAAGAATTACATTGCACGCGAAAATGGGAAAGGAATCGCGAAAATGGAATTTATGCACTTCAGCCTGTTCATACACGTACCATACATGTACAACTTCTTCCCCACCCGTCTAATACGCGTATTAAACGCGTAAGGTCAAAAAAGCCACGCTTCATACGCGTACCACAAAAGACGTTTTTCCTCTTAACTCACTCAGAAAACTCCCATACGCGTATGGCTCCATGTATACGTGTTTGACACTTTCCAATACGCGTACCATACGCGTACCAGTAGATGACCGCGCTGGTTCTGAGGACAGGGAACGTACCATACGCGTATAGCCCCTGGGACATCCCCTCATATGTGTATCATATGCATACGGCTAGCCAGCATGCTCCAAAAAACTGCGTACCAAAATAACTTTTATTCATTTTGAGAACTCTCAACCTCCTAATTTGGGTCCAAAATAGAGTTTTACACAAAATTACCTACAAATTTAATCCCATTCATCAATCAATTATTCTACGAAAGTTTTCTACATCAAAATCACTTATTTATCAACCCTATAGATCTATAATTTCAGATTAGGGATTCTCATGAAACAACACTACAATGACAACAATTACCAACAATTACCAACAATCACACCATAGATAACACATCAATTAACAATCACATAGAGACAACATAGATCAAGCAAAAACATGGCCACATACATCAATTATTTACAAACTTAAAGAGGGAAAGGAACCCTCACTACCCTCTCATATTATAATCACCATTTAGAGAACCCATTCTCCCCCTTTACCTTGGTTTGGAACTTTGATCCTTCAACAATGACGGAATTCTCCTTGTCATCCTTTGTCCTAGCTTCTCTTCTCTTCTCTTCTTTCTTTTCTTTTTACGTGGAACAATTTTCCCAATCCTCCTTCCACAATTCTCTTTAATTATTCCTTATTATTATTTTCCAATAATAATAATAATAATAATAATAATAATAATAATAATAATAATAATAATAATAATAGTTATAATATTAATAATAATAATATCTTTAGTGGCAAATACTCCATTTAACCAACAAATAATATTTTTACTAATAATAATGGGATATTCCATCTTTCACCAAAACTATCATCATTATAATATTATTCAAAACCTACTTCAACTATCGAATTATACTAAGTTCTCACACCTCCTTAGTCAAACCAACATAGTTATGCAAATCCAATCATCAAATGACTAAATATTTAAATGGGGTGTTACAAAAATCATAATCTCTCACATCACTACAATATATAATTATACTTCGTCATACAAAAAGGCATGGTTAGCAAAGACCAAGGCGATTGAAAAGATATATGGATACTGGGAGGAGTCATACAAAGAACTACCGCACTACCGGAATGTACTTCAGACGTATGCTCCTGGAACTGTTTATATTATGGAAACATTGTCGGCGTATGCCCCAGACGATACTTCTGTCAACGAAAATGGAATATTCAGTCGACTGTTATGGGATTTTCAACCTTTCATCACATGGTTTACGTCCTGCAAACCTATTATTCAGATAGATGGAACGTGGTTGTACGGGAAATACAAAGGCACGTTACTGATGGCAGTTGCATAAGATGGCAACAACAACACTTTCCCAATTGCCTTTGGTCTGGTTGAGGGAGAAACTGGTGGTGCTTGGAGTTTCTTTCTCAAGAATCTCTGAACACACGTGGCTCCGCAATCTGGTCTCTGCTTGATCTCCGACAGATATGCATCTGTTGAGAATGCATACAATAATCCTACAAATGGTTGGCATGACCCCCCTTCTACGCATGTCTACTGCATTAGGCATATCGTACAAAATTTCATGCGGGAGATCAAAGACAGAGCTCTTCGGAAAACAATTATGAATACAAGGTATATATTAACACAATCTTCATTCAAACACTATCACAACAATATCAGATTGTTAAATTTGGATACAGGTAGGTGGGTTGATAATATTTCAGTGGAGAAATGGACAAGATCATACGACAATGGGAAACGATGGGACCACTTGACAACAAATCTTATTGAATCAATGAATGGTGTATTTAAAGGCATACAAAACCTCATAGTAACTGCTTTGGTGATATCAACATATTTTAGGATGACTTTGTTGTTTGAAAAAAGAGGTGAAATATGGAACGCGGTGTTACAATCGGGACAACTATAGAGTGAACGCTGCATGAAATATATTAAGGAAGAAGATGCCAAAGCCAACACCCATCTTGTTACAAGGTTCGACCAACATAGCCATAACTTCATTGTCAAAGAGACAATCGACCATAATTAGGGGCTGCCAAGACAAGAATATAAGGTTATACTACCATCTCGTTGGTGTGATTGTGGAAAGTTTCAAGCCTTTCGTATGCCTTGCTCTCATGTCATTGCAACATGTACGTATACTCATCAAGATGCATTACTACTTCTATCTCCCATTTACAAGTCAGAGACCTTGCTCAGCATATACAACAATAGCTTTCCAGTTGTAGCGAAATCTGATTATTGACTTGCCTACGAAGGGGAAATAGTTTGGCACAACGATCAAATGTGAAAGAATAAAAATGGCCGTCCCCAAAGCAAGCATATCACAACTGAAATGGACTCTCTTGACAAGCTAGAAAGAAAGTGTGATTTATGCCGTCAGGTCGGACACAATCGAAAAAATTGTCTCAATCGTGCTACAAGCTCGTCAACATAAAAATTATATGCAAACTATATACACTTTTTTAAGATCTAAATGTAACTTTTTTCATTAAGAGCATTTGTCACAACAAACCATACTCAAACTACAAATAAAAATACATCACCACTATTACGATAAAATGCAACGTGTAAATATAACACAAACAACATGATAAAACATCTAAGAAATTACAACTGTCAAAATAATTTCATCTGAGCCATGCATCATCACCATTACGTCGCTGTCTGTTTTGACTTCCTTCAGCCAAGATTGAGGTCTTCCAGTTGCAAGTAAGGTGACTGTTCTTCTTCTCTGGATCCTTCTAATTTGTGCCCCAGCTTCAATGTCTCCATCTAGCCATCATATCAACTCTATCTTCAGACGCTCAGTGGAATGAATGTGCTAAAATTTCATTAATCAGAGGTTTGGTGGTCGAGAAAATAACATACCCGTCTATGTGAAAATTATGGGAGATGTCATGATGCATAAAACAGAGAGAAAATGAGAAGAAAATATGAGAAAGTGTGAAGAATGATGGAGAAATAGGTGTTTTATTTATAGAAAACACACTTGCATGTATGAGTCATCTCATTTGGCGCCTCCTCTCTATATTATTGTGTATGCGTCAAGTGAGATGACGCCTAAGACTAAAAAGCAAGAGCATGCACCATCTGAGTTGACTCCTTAGTTTAAGTGTATTCTAAAACATGACCATTTGCGTAATTTTCTCTGAAACATGGTTACTTGTGTATTTTTTTAAAACATGATTATTGTTAAAAAAAAATTCAAAATTTGATTTCTATGTCGAGATTTTTATTATTTTTATCAATATTTTTTAAAATTTAAAAAATTCATATTTAATTTATCTCATTTTAAAAAATTCTAAAATTTGGTAAAAAAACATTTTATTGTATTCTAAATACGAATGAAAAAAAGTATTTAAGAAATTAAAAACTTAAGGATTATTAAAAAAAAAAAATTTTAAAAAATAGCAGGGACTAAAACTGAATGGATAAATTTTTTGTAAGAATCAAAGTATGTTATTTTTTAATAGGGACTAAAAATAAAATTTGAGAAACTTATAAGGATAAAAAATATATTTAATCCTTTGAAATTTTCGATAAGAACTCATGTAAATTGCGAAAAAAATTTAAACATGCAAAATAGAAAGTGTCAGGTATAAGTGTAGGATGTCAAGTTAAATCCTCTATCAATTTACATTTAGGGTATGTTTATTTCATAAATACAAATAAGATTCTTGGAGAATGTGAGGTTGAGAATCTCATATTCCCACAATTGATTGAAGTTTTAACAAATTATTATTTGATAGTATTTTTTATTTCTTAGAATATAATTAACTAATGAAATCTTAAAAATTTATTACCATATTAAAAGGTGTAAATCTTTCATTCCCATACGAATAATAAATAATCAATTATAACTATCCATTTATATATTATTTTAATATTATTTTATTTATTTTTTATATTTTTAAAAATATAAATAAAATAAAATTTTAAAATATTCTAAAATTTTTAAATAATTTACCAAATAAATTAATGAAAACTATATTTCAAACAAATAATATTTCTAAAAATTATAAATATAATTCATCAAACAAACACACCCTTCATATTAACTTATACATTATCGTATAATTATTATTTGGTCGACCTTACACATTCAGTGCCATCCATATGCTAATTAAATAAATAGAAAATATCATTTTGATTTCTGAACAACCGCAACACAACCGCAACACGTTACTAAATAAAACCAAACCGACTTCAAAACCAATCTATATATAACTAACTCCAACATTGTTTTTATCTTTAATCAACATTGTTACACACAAACATATAACCTCTTAAAGGATCATATTTTAAGGATTTTGTTTTATTATTGTTAGAGATGATCAAAGACGCTGGATTTGAGCATGTTATAAAATATTTTGATGAAGATGGTGATGGAAAAGTTTCATCAACAGAACTACGACAAAAGCTTATACTAATGGGAGAGGATCTTTTGTTGAAAGAAGCTGAAATGGGTATTGAAGCAGTGGATTCAGATGGTGACCGTTATTTGAGTTTGGAGGATTTAATTGTGTCGATGGAGGAAGGTGGAGAGGAACAAAAGTTGAGAGATTTGAAAGAAGCATTTGAGATGTATAATGATAATGATAAGTGTGGCTTTATAACACCAAAGAGTTTAAAGAGGACGTTTAAGAAGATGGGAGAGTCTAAATCTATTGATGAATGTAAAATTATGATTAAACATTTTGATTTGAATGGGGATGGTCTCCTTAACTTTCATGAATTCACAATTATGATGAGCTGATATGATATACTTCATCTTTTTCATTCTCATTCTAATTCATATATATATAAGTTATTGATGTAATTGCTTTAGTACAAATACAAATTATGGTTAATTGTTAAATAATAATTGTTGTCAGACCGAAGAATATAAGGTTTTCAATTAAATTAATGCTTGTTCTTATGACAAATTTTAAGTGAAGATAGTTGGAAAACTGATGATAATTTGGAGTGAGAATTGAAATGATTTATTAATTTTAAATGGTAAAAATGGGTACATGTAAAAATTACCGAAGTGAATTTGAAAGGATGTATTTTAGTCTCATATAAAAAGTACATAAATACTAATAGGGTATATATATTTTTTAATTTGGCCAAATGGATTGCCCTATGAGGAGTACTTAATTTTGTAAAAAAGTGAAGACACACTATTATGTCATTCAAATACGTACGTGTGTGCTACCGTCCGAGTAACTTTTTGAAATCAGATTTAATGGAAATTAATTATTATTAATTAATTAATTTGGTGAAAATTAATTACTATTGATTAATTAAAAATAGTGGAAATTAATTAATATTTAATATTAATTAATTATAGAAATAATGACGTGTCATCCATTAAAATCAAATCTTAACTTAAATTTTGACTGGTTTATTTGGCTTCTAAGAGTCAAACGTGTGGTTTGTTGACCAAGTGAAAAACGAATAGTTTGACTGGGTCGATTCCACTCTCTCTCTCTCACGGTTTTCTCTCACGATTTTTCTCCACTCAGTTGGATCCTATGTCTATAAATAGAGTTCTTTGTTTCATTTGAAACTCACTCTAGAATTTGACATTCGAATTCTCTCATTTCTCTCTCTGCTTTGCTTCATATATATTTTCTTTTCTGTTTTTTCGATTGGAATATTTCCAGATACTGCGACTGGTTAAAAATATCATTTGAAGGTGTATCTCTTCGTACGATTTATTACAGTGCAAGTAATAATCTTCTTTTATTGAACGAGCTGTTTTATCCTAGAGACATCGTCAAAAACTCGACTGCTTTGCATAATTATTGGCAGTACGGCGAAACATCTTAAAGAAAGTGAACCGATCCGCGACTCGAGCTGATAAATTTCTCAGTGACAATTTTCTCAAAATCTGAAAACAACAATTTTAAGATGCTTTAACTGCCATGACTACTGAGGAAATTATCGCTACTACGACGGCCGCTACAGTCTCAGACAAATCATTTAAATTTGAGGGTTTTAATTTCAAATGTTGGCAAGCTAAGATGCAAATTTTCTTAACTTTAAAGAAGGTTGCCCATGTTCTGACTGAGGATCTCCATGTTGCTCCTTTTGGATCAAATGAACTAACTAATGGTAAGATAATTATGGAATCAGACGTGACTCCAAAATCGTTTGACTTAGACTCTGCTGAAAAAACTAAAGCTGCGGATATAACTTACAGCTCAAAAAAGAAATCGCCATATGGCAAGAGAATGACTACCTGTGCAAAAATCACATTCTGAATAGTCTTGCTGATGATCTGTACAATTACTACAGTAATTACAAGACTCCTAAACAGGTATGGGAGGCTTTGCAGAAGAAATATGATATCGAAAAAGCAGGTGCGAAGAAATATGCGGTCAACCACTACTTGAACTATAAAATGATGGATGAAAGATCTGTGAAATCTCAAAGCCACGAAATTCAGAAATTTGCTCATGAAATCATAATTGAAGGTATGCCCCTCGATGAACAATTTTAGATTGTTGTTATAATTGACAAGCTGCCCTCTAGTTGGAAAGATTTCAAAAATTTACTTCGACATAAAACTAGAGAATTTTCAATCGGGAGTTTGATTACTCGCCTCCGAATTAATGAGGAAGCTTGTAGACAAGATCAGAAAGATGAAGTCTTGGTTGTTTCAAACAACAAAAATAAATTTAGTGTGGTTCTAAAGCTTACGGGAAAACCTTTAAAGAATTAGAACCAAAATTTTGTGAACCGAATTAAGAATGTGAATCCCTCTAGGGCCCCATATGCTCCAATTGCTAGGCAGCAACCACCACCTCAGAGAAATGATGCTCTGATTTTCACTTGCTACAATCACTACTATAAAAAGCACAAACAACAATGCCAGGTTTACAACGTATCCATATACATTGTAGTAATAGGTTAAATTTTTGCCCAGTGAGTTGTTGGATTTATTAATGACGGTTGATTTTAAACATCGTAGTTAAAAATTGATGTGCATCACACTTTGATTCTCAGCAACCACATTTTTTCCATTTTTAGAGTATATTAAGTGTGTGTCACCTATCTTCATTATTTAAAAAATAAATTGTAAATGATTTAACAACAGTGAATACGTCAACCGTTGTTAGAGGACTTAAGTTTCCACTACGGTTGCTTCGTCCAACCACCATTAAAGGGTTTACTGATAAATTAAAATAAAAATTATTTTATATTTCTTTCATAAGACGCCATAGGTGAACAAGCGAGCCAGAGACGACATCGGTGGCTCAAATCTTCATATCCATTCATTTAGAGCACAAATCTTCACCCTCTTCGTTCATTTGATTCTTCTACTTCGCAGTACGGTACTCTTCAATATCTTCATTCCTTTTTTCTTTGTTTATGTTGTATATGCTTAAATATTCACCCTCTTTGTTCATTTGATTCTTCAACTTCACACTACGGTACTCTTCAACATCTTCATTTATTTTTTCTTGGTTTATGTTGTATATGCTTAAATCTCCATCTTCTTTGTTCATTTGATTCTTCAGCTTCGCAGTACGGTGAAACAACCGGCTGAAAATCATCAAACAATGAAGTCGCCATCGAACGTCTTTTATCCCACATGTAGGGAAAGGTAAACATCGAGAAAACCTGAGAAGGTAGAAGTCATGGTCTTGCGACCGAGAGATCGGGTAAGGGAGTATGTTACACGAGGGGAAGGTATTATCACCCCACACGCCCGTAGTACTCTACGGTATCCACTCTTGTTATCTATCTTATGGGTGTGTTTAATCTATGCTTACTGTTCATTATACTACTGGAAGGAATGCATGCAAAATAAAGGAGAAAAGAATGTAGGGAAATAAAAGTGTGCTCGCTTGGGCCCTACCCCAATGCCTACGTATCCGTTTTGAGGAATCAGAGCTACCGTAGTTCGGCTCATATGTTTTTGTTTGTTTGTGTTTTTTATGGACGAAGTTAATTCCGCCTTCTGCCGCAACTCGACCTTTGGAGACTTATGCGTTGGCACAGAAGTAAACTAATCGTGTCCTTACCTGAAAAGGGTTTCTTAAAAAAGGTGCTCGAGCGCACAAATGGTTTGAGTTGGTTTGTATTTTTGTTGCAGATAATGACTAGTCGACCTCAAGAGAGAGATATTAGTCGCTTTTCTACTTAGTCATGAAAGGAGTCTTTGAGAATTGAACCACACCTAGGCTTGAGATGAAGAACAATAAGATCGAGGAGAGACTCGCTTATCATTTCTCGTACTAAGCAAAGGCGTGATTCTCATCAGTAGTTTTAAAGTGTTTTGAATTTTGAAAGAAAAAAAGAAGTTTTTGTTTTAAATACACATGCAAAAGGAGAAAGAAAAGTTAAAGGGGACTAGCCTATTTCTACACCTAGTGTTATTGTGCATTAATAGACCTAAAGTTAGAATTTGAGGGAAACATCTACCTAATGTTAGCGTGCATATTATTTGCGATAAAGCCCGGAAATGAAGAATAAAATAGGGTTGCGACGATACCGAACGGAGGAGGTCCGTTGCCTCTTCGAAACTGTGCAAGCGGTAAGAAAATTCTACCAAAGTTTCCTTGAACGAGTGATCGAAGAATTAACCCCGAGCATTCCATATTGCAAAAATTGCATCATTACCATCACGAAATCTTGACTAAAAATGATAATAAAAATGAATACCAAATATGAAAAATAAAATAGTAAAAAAATTCTAATTGGAATTCTAAAAAGAAATTCCAAAGAATTCTAAAATATTCTATTATTTTGTATCATTCCACCACCAATTAATCAACAATTAATAGGAGAAAAAAATTTAAATCAAATATTTAAATGAGAGATGAGGCCAGGGGGTGCAAGCTGATTCAGGGAGTGTTGGAAGGTAAATGCTAGGTGCAAAGGCCCAACTGGTTGAGTCCATGACCAGTTTTTCAGCAAACATCAATAGGCTTCCAAAAAGGTGATAATGGGCTTGAAGAGGAGGCAATCTTAACCCAATCCTTTTTGCTACTCATCTAATTCGTTTTTTTCTCTTTATTGTGTTAAAGATTGATGATTAAAAACTAACAGAATAAAAACATGAAAATAATTAACTATTAACATAAAACATGAAAATTATTAGAGAAGATAAATAAAAAAAAGATTGATGAGGAGACAGAGAAAAAAATAAAACAATTAAAATTAAAAGGATAAAAACGTGAAAAATGAAAGAGGATTTAGGGTTGGGACGGCTGAGCTTCATTCTTCTTCGCGGCGTCGCCATCTTCCATGATATGAACGCTATCTCAATCTCTTGCTTCAACCCGCGATGGCCTTCTTCTCTTCTCTCTTCCATCTTCTTCGATGAACTAACAGCATTGTGCGGCCGTTTACCTCAATCAACTCCTCTGTTACAGCATCGCTCATCATCGTTTATCACTTCCTCATCAAGCATGACGCCGTGATGAGAAATCCAAAGACAGAAATTCAGGTAAGCATTCTGCTCTTCGTCTTGCTCTTCGTCTTGTGTTTCTTCGATTCCTGATCTTTCCTCTTCTGCTTCATTTATTTGCGGATCTCTGAGTTTCTGCATTTTATTATGAATTGTGATGCTGTAGCGTTGCATTGTTGAGAACGCTGCATGATGAAGAGAGTGTGGTGTTGTTGTTGTTATGTTGAATGAAGATGATGATGATTGATGTAGAGTGTTGTAGAAGATTGCAGAAAGAAGGTTAGAGAATATGAAGTTTTCTCATAATTTTTGGTGAAGTTATTGGTGATTCTTCCAAGCGATGGAGAATGTTG